TGATCTTTGAATAATATAAGTCTTTAAATGCAAGATATTTAAAGTGAACCTGAAGTATACTTGCAATAGTTCCACTTCAGCACAATCAAATATACTTCAGTATATTTTTATTTGGACTTCAACACAATTAAAGTGCATTAAGCACTTCAAGTATACCAGATTAGTATACTAAAAGTACAATTGCAGGGTATTTTTATTAAGTACATAAATATGTAAATGTATTTGTAGTGTACTTAGCATGAAATAAATGCATTTTAAGTACATTTTAGTATATTTATTTTTCACTAGGGACATACCATCAGAATGTAAGTTGTTGGTTACTACCCGCTAGCTAGCTACACCTCACTGACAATGAACTGCGGAAAAAAACTGTTTTCTTCTCATGGTTGACCTACCTGGCTTACATGTGGTGTCAGTCATTTTGACTTAAGTGCTATCCACAGGCTTTAGCCACAATACATTTCTCAGTGCCAAAGGGGCATAAGTGCAGTTACACCCTTTTGGCACCAACTGGCTTAGTATGTTCAGTGTTAAGTCTTTTGGTTTCTAATGAATAACTCCAAAATTATTAAGAATTCACTTGTGTCCTTTTGGCAGTAGAAAGAGCTCATCATAAGCTTTCATTTGATATATATATATCTCCAATTTCGCCCAAAATGCCACTTACTCCCTTCTGGTTCTCACGCCTCGATTTATTTATTGTTTCATTTCAGCAATAATTTATTTATTGCAGTCTTCACTCTCAGAAAAAAAAGTACAAAAGCACAAAAAGGTACACATTTGTATCTAAATGGTCCATTTTGGTACTAAAGGTACAAAAGTGTGCCTTTTGAAAAGGTTTTTTTTTGTTGATGTTCCTTCCTTCCCCTGCTATCAAGTGCAGCATCTGTGTAACGTGGCAAAAGCAACACAACTCACATGAAAGACATTTATATTTCACAATCATTGTCCGCAATTTAATAGTTTAGAGCTTAATATTAAACCTGGAATTAAACCTTTTTTAAATATTTGTTTGATATTTCATATAATTGGTTTATATTGCTGTGTATGGCACTCTCTTTTGAGGCACCCACAAACTGGAGTAAAATTCCATTTTATACAAAACTGACCATAGTGCACATCCATAGGATCATATACCATCAAACATACACTACCCTGACACGTAAAACCCTATATGTGGCTGAGTGACTCTTGGAGGCATTGCAGAATACTACTTTCACGGTGTGTGAAATTTAATTTTGTTTTAATTGTCACTTAAATTCTATATTAAACACGACATAACTGCTGCAAACAGTTTGATACCGGCAGCAAACAACCTTCTCGATGAACAGTGTCTCTCAATTTTATTTCACAAAACAAAACCCTTGTGAAAGATAAGGAAACGTGCAGAATGGCTCATAATTCAACAGAAAGTTGCAGTATGAACTGTAACAAGTCGATAAATGGATTTCAGTTTCCATTTCACAAGTTTATCAGACAGTCTGTCTACCAAACAAAACTGTTTTTAGACATTTTTTCCCTTTTGACAGATATCACTTAATGAATTTTCCAAGTAACAAAAAGTAACAGGTGATCAGGGCCTTATTCAAACTGCTGCACTGATTCTCATTGGATGTATATGAATAATAAACGGGAGCATATAATTGATTCGACTGAGCTTCATGAGACATCAGGACATCTACAGATGTTTGATTTTGGCCTTTCACACAAAACAGAAACAACAAATACCTAGAGTAACATCCGTCTTAGCAGCTCCTTTAGGAAACTCTGAACATCTCACCACAGTAGGATTTTCATAGAGGTATACTTGTTTGCAAGTACTTGAAAAGAACAGTTGAATATTGCATGGTTTCATTGTCTGACATTACAAAGAATAAATTACAAACGAACAGACACAACACATAACCAACTCTCATTGGTTTCTATAATAATTCTCAATATAACATTGCTTCCAAATGAGCAATATCTAAAAACTAAAATACGGTGTAATCAAAATACAGCTTATTATGGAGGATTTCACATTTCGGGGCCACTAAATAAAAAATACTCAGATTTCCCCTTTAGTGCACTTCCGATATATTATGAAAATTTCTTTCGAGTATTCCATATATTACAAAATAATGTGTAGGAACTGAGGTTATAACAATGGTGCGACGCTGATTAGGAAGCATTCTTCATTTCGATATTATTGACTAGACCCTAGTCTCTCATCGCAGTACTCATACTCTATGAAATATTATGCTCAGCTAAAGGCATTCATTTACAAGCAGCTCTACGTAACAATGCATATCATTTACAAACAGTAAATATTTTAAATAATGCACTAACAAATAAATGGATAAGACCTCGGATTTGACAGAAACTAAGCATGTTGGAGAAATAAACAAGATGTCTGCATTATTACACAAAACTGTCTCCAAATCCACCTAAAAAGTGGAACAAATGTAATTTAGTTTGACTACCAATTGTTTGCTTGACTGTCTAAACGTTCATGTCAAATGCATATATATACGAGGTTACCTGCAAAAAGCATTTTCTGTGAATTGTGCAGATATATTTCTCACGAAACTTGAACTTGAACTTCAGAACTTGAGCAGGGTTTCTATGCAACCCCCTGAGATGGAAAAAATATGAGGAAAAATGTAATTTCAGTGATTTTGCGTGCAAAATGTCTAAATACTTTTGCATTCTCACAAGAAAAAAAAAAACAGTTTGCTTGTAAAAGCACTGAAATGCAGTTTCTTGGGGGGTGGGGGGGGGGGAAAAAAAAAAAAA